CCGAGTCCCAGCAACCGCTGCAAACCTCAGCGAGAAAGCGGCCTTCGAGTTCTGACCAAAGCCAGACAGTCCCGCTTCTCCCGTTTGAGTCTGGGTCCCTAGAGACTTGCCCGGCTCTGGAGCTCAGAGTCTGAAGCTCCCTCCCGACTGAAAACAACAACCGTGCCCTCCGCCGCTAGCCCGCTCCGCGTGCACTCCGCACCTGAGTATTTCACTTCAGCACTGCACCTCCTCTGAGTCTGAGTATGATATTCTCTTTCCTCCTAGTTGTAGAATTTCCATTCAGCCAGTCTCCCTGTGGTACTGAATGATGTCCGTTCCGTCTTTTAGGTGTAATTTGAATTGGTTGTTCAAGGCAGCAATCTCTGGCGTTAACCTATGCCGCCATCTTGGTTTCTCCAAGTTGGACTTTCTTAAAACTAAAACATTTTGCTCATTGAAAGAATTGATAAAAAAAAAAAAAAAGGCAAATCAGAGACTGGGAGGAAATATTCATAATATGGCCCTGGCAGTTGTGGCTCAGTTGGTTGGTTATCATACTGGGTACCAAAAGATTGCCAGTTTGATTCCAGGTCAGGGCACATGCCTGGGTTGCAGCTTGATCCTCAGCAGGGGGCATATAGGAGGCAGTCGAGTGATGTTCCGCTCTCACACAGATGTTTCTCTCTTTCTCTCCCTCTCCCTTCCTCTCTCTCTAAAAAAAAAAAATTAATAAAAAATATTTTTAAAAATTTTCATAATATGAATATTTGAAAAGTATATCAGGAATATAGGAAAAACTCTTATAACTCATCCTATATAATAAGAGCCTAATATACTAAGTGTCCAACCATTCCTTCGACTGTTTGACTAGTCACTGTGATGCTCACTGACCACCAGGGGGCAGACGCTCCAAACGGTACGTTAGCTTGCTGCTGGGTCCTGCCAATTGGGACTGGGTGAGATGGGCCAGACATGCCCTGGAGCCCTCCGCCGGTCCCTCCCCGGCCCCAACTGTGCATCAGTGGGATCCCTTGGCCTGGCCTGTGCCCTCTTGCAGTCTGGGACCCCTCAGGGGATGTCAGAGAGCCAGTTTAGGCCCAATCCCCCCAGGCCAAGCCGAGGGGCCCCACCCCCACTGGTGCACAAATCTGTGCACCGGGCCTCTAGTAATAAGATAAAAAATTCAATTAAAAATGGGCAAAACATTTGAACAGACATTTCATAGAAAAAGTTACTAATGTTGAAGAAGCACATGAAAAGAATCTCAATATCTTTAAACTTCAGACAAATTAAAACCATACCAATAAGATACCAATATACACTCACTAGATTAGCAAAAATGAAGAAGACTGAAAATACCAAGTGTTGATGGTGTGGATCAAATACAATTCTTACACATTGTTAGTAGTGTAAAACAATGCACTACTTTTTTTTAAAATATATTTTATTGATTTTTTACAGAGAGGAAGGGAGAGAGATAGAGAGTCAGGAACATCAATGAGAGAGAGACATCGATGAGCCGCCTCCTGCACATCCCCCACTGGGGATGTGCCCGCAACCCAGGTACATGCCCTTGACCAGAATCGAACCTGGGACCCTTCAGTCCGCAGGCCGACGCTCTATCCACTGAGCCAAACCGGTTTCGGCAATGCACTACTTTTAAAGTTAAACATATACTTAATTTATGACCCAGCATTCCTCTTTTAGGTATTCACCCAAGAGAAATAAAAGCTTATACTCACACATAAAGACTCATATTCATAGCAGATTTATCCTAATATCCCCAAACTGGATATGACACATATTTTTATCAATAGGGAAATGGTTAAAGAAATTGTGATATATCCATACAATGGAATACTATGCAGAAGTTGAAAGGAAAAAGAAAAGAGATACATTCAATAACATAGAAGAATGTATACTGAGCAAAAATAAATAAATAAATAAATAAAATAAAAGCCAGATATAAAAGAATACATGCTATAGGATTCCTTTCACATGAGATTCAAGAAAAGACAAGGGACTGGGCAGGGGCGGGGATGGGGGGGTTATTGCAAGGAGGTACAAGTGAACTTTTTTGGGTAATGGAAATGTTCTATATCTTGATGGTTGGTGGTGGTTACATTGGTAAAGAGATGTCTTAAAACTCTTCAAGCTGTATACTTAAAATATTTTGTTTTATATATTAAAATTAACTAAAAATTAACAAGTTAACATTCACAGTATATTAGAATAAAATCTCATGATCAAACAGTGTTAATCTCAGAATGGTTTAACAGCAGAAAATAAGTACGTAACAGATTACTAACAAATTAAAAAGAGAAAATTGGAGACATGAAAACCATTTGGAACCCATGAATTAGAATCCTTTGTTATAAAGAAAGTTATTAGGACAACAGATGAAAACTTGAGTGATTTGAGTAATACATTAATAGTAATTTCATGATTTAAAAAATATATTTTTATTGATTTTAGAGAGAGGAAGGGAGAGGGAGAGAGAGAAACATCAATGATGAGAGAGAATAATTTATTGGCTGCCTCCTGCACGTGCCCCCCAACTCCCCCCACCATTGGGGATTGAGCCCACAACCTGGCCATGTGCCAGTCCATGGGTCAATGCTCAACCACTAATCCACACTGGCCAGGATAATTTCCTGATTTTGATGGTCATATTGTGATTATGTCAAAGAATGTCCTTGTTTGTAGGAAATACAAACTAAAGTAAGACTGTCCCAATTTAATTTCAAATGGTTCCAACAAAAATATTTTTTGTACTGTATGTGCAACTTTTCTTAATATTCAATATTCTTTTAGCAAACTAGAAATAAAAGGAAACATCCTTATTTCAATAAAGTAAAATATTAAAAACTTAAAGTATACACAAATTAAAATCTTAGAAACATCCCATTAATATAAGAAATAAGACAAAGCTCCCTACTTAAAAGTTTCTATAAATAAATAAAATCTAATCACTATTATAACAGAATGATCTAGAAAAATGCAGTAAAACAAGAAAAAGAAATGAAGAAGCCCAAAAATTAAAAGAAAAAAAAGTATCTTTATTTGCAGATGAGGCTTGTCCAAATAAAATATCCAGGTGAATCTAGAGACTACTAGAATTAATATGAATTTGCAAAAATTATTGGACAAGATCAATTTTTTAAAATCAATAGTGTTTGAAAAAAAAATCAACAGTGCTTGTATGTACCAATAATAGCTTATTTTAAGCAGGTAGTAAGAAAAAGTAACAAAACAAACTCAGGAATAAGCCTAACCCAAAGTTCTAGAACTACATAGAAAAAAATTATTAAACATTTCTAAAATTCATACAAGATCTGAATGACTGGGGAGACAGACCCTGTTAATGGATAGAAAAACTCATATATCATGAGGGTGTCTATTTTTCTCCCAAATTAAAATGTCTTTTAAAAAGCTTCTATAAAACATTTTAAAAATATATTTTTATTAATTTCAGAGAGGAAGAGAGCAACAGAAACATCAATGATGAGAATTATTGATCGGCTGCCTCCTGTACCATCACCCCTACTGGGAACTGAGCCCGAAACCTGGGCATGTGCTCTGACCAGCAATCGAACCAGGGACCTCCTGGTTCATGAGTTGACACACAACCACTGAGCCAAACCACTGGGCTAAAAAGCTTCTTCATAATTCTTGTTATAAATAAGATTTAAAGTAATCATAAGGTAATAAGATCCAAGAAATTAAAAAGTCAGAAAAACATCCTCCTAAAATCCCCACTTAAAAGCCCAAACCATGGCCAACTCATCATTCTTTGTACTTAAAGTACCATTTTTCTATTTTGGTATATCCTTCCCTAAAAGAACTCAGGTATTTATTTATTTTATTTTTGTTAATCCTCACAAAAAGATATTCTTCCATTGGTTTTTAGAAAGTGGTAGGGAAGGGAAAGACATAGAGAAAAACATCGATGTGAGAGAGACACATCGATTGGTTGCCTCCTGCATGGGCTCACTTGACTGGAATCAAATCCAGGACACTTCAATCCAAAGGGCTGATGCTCTATGTACTGAGCCAAACAGGCTAATGAAAGAACTCCTGTATTTTCAAGTAACTTACCAAACAATTTTCATGAGCAGCTATGTCCTCTGATTGTGCACAGTACAGGACACCACACTCGAGGT